GAAAGAATGCTCAGTATCACTAATCATTAGAGGAATGCAAATCAAAACTACAATGAAGTATCACCTCACACTGGTCAGAATGGCCATCATCAAAAAATCTACAAACAATAAATGCTGGAGAGGGTGTGGAGAAAAGGGTACTCTCCTGCACTGTTGGTGGGAATTTAAATTGATACAGCCAGTATGGAGAACAGTATGGAGTTTCCTTAAAAGCTAAAAATAGAACTACCGTATGACCCAGCAATCCCGCTACTGGGCATATACACCGAGAAAACCATAATTCAAAAAGATACACGTACCACAATGTTCACTGCAGCACTATTTACAGTAGCCAGTACGTGGAAGAAACCTAAATGTCCATCAATAGATGAATGGATAAAGAAGATGTGGAGCATATATACAATGGAATATTACTTGGCCATAGAAAGGAATGAAATTGAGTTTTTGGTAGTGAGGTGGATGGACCTAGAATCTGTCATACAAAGTGAAGTAAGTCAGAAAGAGAAAAACAAATATCGTATGCTAACCCATATATATGGAATTGAAAAAAGCGGTACTGATGAACCTAGTGGCAGGGCAGGAATAAAGACACAGATGTAGAGAATGGACTTGAGGGTACAGGGTGGGAAGGGGAAGCTGGGATGAAGTGAGAGAGTAGCACTGACATATATACATTACCAAATTGTGAAATGGATGGCTAGTGCGAAGCTGCTGCATAGCACAAGGAGATCAACTTGATGCTTTGTGATGACCTAGAGGGGTGCGATAGGGAGGCTCAAGAAAGAGGGGATATGGGGATATATGTATACATATAACTGATTCACTTTGTTGTATAGCAGAAACTAACACAACATTGTAAAGCATTTATAGTCCAATAAAGATATGAAAAAAAAAATAAAAGAGTCTGCCTGCCAATGCAGGGGACATGGGTTTGAGCCCTGGTCCAGGAAGATCCCACATCTTGCAGAGCTACTAATCCTGCGTGCCGCAACTACTGAGCCTGCGCTCTAGAGCTCGTGAGCCACAACTACTGAGCCCACGACCCACAACTACTGAGCCTACGACCCACAACTACTGAAGCCTGCACACCTAGAGCCTGTGCTCCTCAACGAGAAGCCGCCCTAATGAGAAGCCCGTGCACCACAATGAAGAGTAGCCTCTGCTAGCCACAACTAGAGAAAGCCTGCGTGCAGCAACGAAGACCCAACGCACCCAAAAAGAAGAAAAAATTAAGATTCTTTCATGTTATATTGTGTGTCAATATTTCACTAATATTGGTGATTTAATAATATTCCTTGTATGAATATATCACAATCTGTTTATCCGCTCACTAACAAACGGACATTTCTGTTGTTTCTACCTTTTGACTATTATTAATAATGCTGCTATGAATAATACTGCCTTAACATTGACTGTCTTCTTATATGGTGTCTTAAGGTAAGATAGAGGCAAGAGATTGGGTTTTCTCATTTCTTTTCTGAGCGTGCACATAGCTCTATGAATGCATGTGTCCTCTAGATTCGCAAGAATATGTCAGAGCCTTTCAAAACTCTTATGGGCATCTCATTCCCCATTCAAGCTATTTGGTTAATATATTGTTTGACGAAAACTGGAATCCATCACCCTCAGGCAACCTGAAGTTAAGACACTTGCCTGTACTGTAGCTGACAACCCCATCCACCAAACCCTCCCTGCCAAGAAGAGAGCTGTCCACACTGAATGAGATCAGAGTGGCTGGGGTCTTCCAGAGAACCAATGGATAGAGCAAATAATGACAATTAATTGGGAATGAGGCTTTCAAGGAGCTCCAGTTCCATTCTGCTTCTTCTGGTAGCTGCCAGGATGCATGGGGAACATTCACTATTATTTTTCCAAGACTATTGCTGACCTGGGACAAATTAAAATGCCTGTTCCATCAAAGTTTCCTGTTCTTATCTAGACACATTTATTTTTCTTGAATTAACACTCCTTAGATCCTTGCAAGTATGGTTAATTTCCAGAGTTTCACTGAAGAATTGTAAGTGATCCCTAATATGCACACAGAGTCTCTATAAAATGCTTTATAGTTTTCATGTAAAATACCTCTGCTTGATCTTCAATCTTTTTAAAGATAAGGAATTCATCTTTTCAGCTTAGAAAACCTGTAACTTCCTTGAACCATCTATTAATTCCCTTAGGAATATTACATTAACGCTTAGAAGACTTGGTTCTGTACCCAGTGTTATGAAAATGTTGATTCTCAACAATTTTTGCCCTTTTTTCCATTGTTTTTATGGAAGAGTATATTTTCAAAGTCCTTACACTAATAGTGATATATGCTACAACATGGATGAACTTTGAAAACATTATGCTAAGTGAAAGAAGCCAGACACAAAAGGCCAGGTATTGTTGATTCCATCTATATTAAATGTCTAGAATACGCAAATCCAAATAAACAGAATGTAGATTAGTGATTGCCTAGGGCTCAGAGAGATGGAGAAATGGAAGGATGGTAAGCAAAGGGTTCAGGGTCTCTTTTTGACGTTATGAAAATGTTCTAAAATTGATTTTGGTGATGGTTGCACAACTTTGTCCATATTGTAACAACCACTGAATTAAATGATAGAATTGTCTGGTATGTGAATTACGTTTCATTAAAGTTACTGCCAAAAATAATAATAGTGGGTGATTTTACCCACTCTCAATAATTGATACTTCATTTACCTCACTCTCAATAATTGACAAAACTGAACAGAAAACCAGCAACAACAGAAGAGGTGAACATCAGCATTAACCAACTACATGTAAGAGATATATATAGAACACCCAACCCAACAACAGCAAAATACAAATTCTTATCAAGTGCAAATGGAACATTCTCCAAGATCTACTATATGTTAGGTCACAAAACAAGTCTTAAAACATTTATAAAAACCAGATCATAGAAAGTAACTTCCAGTGTAAGTGTGGAACATGGGTCAAGATTGGGTATAAGTCCACTCTTGGAATAAAGGCCAAACACAGTTCCTGTTAGTACAACTAGTATACCACTAATCTTTATAAGTAAAACATTTCTAAGCATTGCTTGAATCAAACCACTAGATATTGGAAGTAGGGAATTTATAATTCAAAATTATGTGTGATAGTGGTTTAAAAAGTATTTTCTAGAATGATGAAAATATTACTTCTGTGTAAACAATAAATCATTCCTTATACACACAAATACCTTTAAGAATGGATACTTGAGCAGTCTCCCAAGGCAATAGAAATAAAAGCAAAAATAAACAATAATATTGGGAACTAATCAAACTTACAAGCTTTTGCACAGCAAAGGAAACCATAAACAAAACAAAAAGACAACCTACCAACTGGGAGAAAATATTTGCAAGTGGTGTGACCAACAGAAGCTTAATTTCCAAAATATACAAACAGATCATACAATTCAATAACAACAAAGGCAAAGAAAAATTCAATCAAAAAAGGGCAGAAGACCTAAGTAGACATTTCTCCAAAGAAGACATACAGATGGCTCATAGGCACATGAAAAGATGCTCATCATTGTTAATTATTAGAGAAATGAAAATCAAAACTGCAATGAGGTACCAACTCACACCAGTCAGAATGGCCACCATCAAAAATTTACAAATAACAAATGCTGGAGAGGGTGTGGAGAAAAGGGAATCCTCTTACACTGATGGTGGGAATGTACATTGTTGTAACCACTACGGAAAATAGTATGGAGGTTCCTCTAAAAACTAAAAATGGAGTTGCCATGTGATCCAGCAATCCCACTCCTGAGGATATACCCAGACAAAACTATAATTCAAAAAGATACATGCACCCCTATGTTCAGAGCAGCACTATTTACAATAGCCAAGACATGGAAACAACCTAAATGTCCATTGACAGATGAATGGATAAAGATGTGGTATACACACACACACACACACACACACACACACACACACACACACACAATGGAATATTACTCAGCCATTAAAAAGAATGAAATAATGCCATTTGCAGCAACACAGTTGGACCTAGGGATTTTCATACTAAGAGAAGTAGGTCAGAAAGAGAAAGTCAAATACCATATGATATCACTTATATATGAAATCTAAAATACAACACAAATGAACATATCTATGAAACAGAAGAGACTCAGAGACACAGAGAACTTGTGGTTGCCAAGGGGGAGGAGGGGTAGGGAAAGGAAGGATTGGGAGTTTGGGATTAGTAGACGCAAACTATTATATACAGGATGGATAAACAAGGTCCTGCTGTATAGCACAGGGATTACATTCAATTCCTTGTGATAAAACCATAACAGAAAGGCATATGAAAAAGAATATATATGTATAATTGAGTCACTTTGCTGTCAGCAGAAATTAACACAACATTGTAAATCGACTATACTTCAATAAAAAATTTTTAAAAAGAATAGAGACTTAAGGAATAATCTGTTCTTTTTTATTTGCTTTAAGATTAAATTATGATAACCAGCAGTAAGGTGTACTGTGTCTAAAAATTGTTACAGAAAACTCAGCTCACCTGAGTAAAAATATATGTGCTATAGGAACACATTAATATAGATATTTAAATTAAAATCTTCACATTTTATACTAGTATTTGCGAAGAAGAGCTGGGGCAATTACTAGTTAATAATGTGATTTATAATGATAAATGGAAAGTTTTAGACATGGGCAAATGGGCGAGCTAAATGAATTTATGGAGCCTGCTTTTAAAATCTAAGATATAACAGAATAAATATGACATAAAAATTTTAAGGTAAAGAAAAAAACTAAGTGGAAAAGGAATTCTAGTAAAATACTTGTCAAAAGATTTGGAAGACCTTATTTAAGAAATCTAGATATTAAACATTTCATCAGTTAGCAGTGTCTGGGAAATTTTTAAACTCATAGACATGTCTAACACAAATATGAACCAAACAACACATGTAAAACAAAATATCCATTTTTATAATATAGTCTACTGAAATTTATTTGTAAAGTTCCCTTTACCTTTATTGTCTGTCTGCTTGTTTGAAACCGCTGATCAGACACTTGCTGCTGGTGAAGGAGCTTTTCATTGACTTCTTTATATTCTTTAATAGACAGTTCTGCTGCTTTTTTGGCATTCAAAAGTACACTGTTCTGTTGTTGCAAGGATACTATACGTTCTCGTAATAAAATAATACTGCTATTTGACTTGTGGGTCATTATATTTTTCCAGTTTTCTCTGTTAACTATACAAAAAGAATGTTAATAATTTTTTTAAAAATCTCATTAAATTAAAAAGACATTGTTAATTTCATATGTATTCTTACCTCTGGTAGGACCTGTCGTATGTGAACTCTTTTGAATATTACTATTCTTCTTTTGAAAAGTTGGTTTTTTGGCATTCTTGTGAAAATAATTCTAAATTTGAAAGTTTCATAAAAATTAGATTATTACTCAATAACAATTTCAAGTGAACCAACATAGTATACAATATTTCTTTACTTAAAAACATATTTGTGCAGAGTTAAAAAATAAGTCTGGACAATAAAATTCTATAATTGATGCCAAGAACTCATAAATGAACATAATATGTGCACTAATGTTGACCTAGCAGGTAGAAGATAAGAATACAAAAATGAACCCAAAAGTAGTAGAAACTTAACCTATGAACAGTTTACAAAGCTAGGAGCAAAAATAGTAAAAGTGACAAAAATAAAATAACTATATTTAATAATGTATTCTCTGGGAATCTAGTTCCTTTTCTCAAATACTGTTCTCCATTGTAGAATGACAAATCCCTTCTTATAAATGAAGCTAAAATAATGTTGATGAAAATAAAGTAACTTTCCTTGAATCTGTATCTTTTCCTCATGACATTCCAACACACTGAGACTAAATAAAATGAAGCCATGTTGACTTTTGTTCCAAACTGTTTCACCGATCTATAAAAGCTTTCCCAAAACAAAAACTTAAATAGGAATATGTTTCAAAATATTATAAATCCTAATAATAAAATATGTTGTTTTGTTTAAGAATTTATTGCCCGGGAAACAGGAAAAATATCAACCTAGAAAACTATTTCTTTAAAAAAAGGAATTTTTTTCAAACAACCCAATTCAGGAACATATAAATAATTATAATAAAAATGGAAGGAGAAAATAAATTTGACCAAATGTTACTTTGACAACGAGCCATATATTTTATATCAACAGATATATAAACTATACTATATTATACATAAGGCATGGCCCTAAAGTAATAGAACTGATTTATTAACACAAATACCAGAAACTTCTAACTAAGATAAGGTTTTCCTTTAAACGAATTACTTTCCTTTAAATGAACTATGTTTCATTAAATATCTCATTTGAACTTGTCTTCAGAACCAGTATATAAGATATATTTTTAAATGTTTCATTCCCTTAAGATTCAGTTAACATTATGCACTGGTCATGTATCTACCACTATAAAAAGATCCAAAATAGAACTATCAAATTACCAATATTAGTTACCAGACTTGATATCAAATTAACTGGACCTAAAATAAAAAAGAGGCTTCCATTTCCAGTATTATTATTGATCAGAAATCCAGAAATATTCTTATACTTTTGAAGGAAGCACACTTAAAGCATGTTTTAAACATGACAAAGTGTTAAGGGAAATTCTGAGGCCAAAAATAAAGTAAAGCAAGAATTCAGAAGGATTTCCCTGGCGGTCCAGTGGTTATGATTCCAGGCTTTCACTGCTGGGGGCCCAGGTTCAATCTCAGGGACTAAGATCCCACAAGCCGTGTGGTGCAGTGAAAAAAAAAAAGAATCCAGAGAGACAAGTGACAAGCAAAGTGGCTAGCAAAATATAGGACAACTCATAATCCCTTGTGACCTTGAAATTCAATTTAAATACCAAAGCAGAATATAGGAGGAAAGGAAAGAAAGCCTAGGCCCCAGCTCCAGATGAGAAATTGGAAGTCACAAAGCTAGGGCACTGTATATAGCAATAGCCTGTACCTTTTTTATTGCTGAGTAGTATTCTATGGTATCGATGTATCATAGTTTGATTAACCATTCAGCTATTAAAGAAAATTTTGGTCATTGCAGTTTTTAGCTATTAAAAATAAAGCTGTTATGACCATTCATGTACAAGCTTTTTAGGTAAACATAAATTTTCATTTCTATAAGTGTCCAAGAGTGAGAAAGCTGGGTTGTATGGTGAGCATATGATTAATTTTTTTTTTTTAAAGAAACTGCCTCCTGTTTCCCAGTGCTATACCACTTTATATTCACACAAGCACTGCATAAGAGATCCAGTTTCTCTGCATCCTTGTTAGCACTTGGTATTGTCGCTATTTTTTATTTTAGGTGTTCTAACAGATGTGTATCTCATCAGGGTCTTAATCTGCATTTCCCTAATGGTTAATGATGTTGAATGTCTTTATGTGTGCGTACTTGCCATACATTTATTCTTTTCAGTGAAACGTCTGTTCATGTCTTTTGCCTGTTTTCTCCTTAGATTGATTTTCTACTGTTGAGCTTTAACAAAATCCTTATATATTCAAGATATCCGTCCTTTGTCAAATATATGATTTATAAATACTTCCTCCCAGTCTGTAGTATGTCTTTTTAATCCTCTTAATAGGGTCTTTCACAAAGCAAAAGTTCTTAATATTTCATGAAGTCAAAATTTGATGTTTTCTTTTAGGGATCATGCTTTTGATAACATGTCTAAAAATTCTTCAGCAAGTCTTAACTCCCAGAGATTTTCCTTATGGTTCCTTCTGAAAGTTTTATAATTTGTTTTACACTTATATCTGTGATCTATTTCCAGTTAATTTCTGCATAAGATGTGAGGTTTAGGTATAGGTTTATTGTTTTTTGCCTAGGGATCTCCAGTTGTTCCAGCACTATTTGTTGAAAAGACTATCCTTCCTCTATTGAACTGCTTTTGCACACTTTTCAAAAATCAGTTGTTTTTCATACATGTGGAGCCACTTCTAAGTTCTATATCCATCATGTAAGTATTAAACCTTTCTTCCCCTCTTGGTGGGTGTTTGGTGTCACCAGTCCTGACATCAAATTGAGTGGTGGGGAATGATGACATCCTCTGTGGGGCAGACACAAAATAGTTATCTTATTTTTTGGTTAATTTCCCATTTGGTTCTTTTCTATATATTCTATTTCATTGATGAGAATTTCTATTTCATTCTTGAGATGTTCTATTTTTTCATTTGTTTCAAACCTGTTTGTAAATGCTTGTTGAAGCATTTTTAATGACAGCTACTTTAAAGTGCTGTCATATAATCTGATTGTCTATGTCATCTTGCTGTTACCTTCTGTTGTTTCCTTTTTTTCATGCAAGTTGAGGTGTTCCTGGTTGCTAGGTATAATGAGTGATTTTCAGTTATATCCTGGACATTTTGGGTATTATGTTTCAAGACTCCACATCTTATTTAAATCTTTTGTTTTAGCAGGCTTCCTCTGATGCCACACTCATGGGGCAAGGAGGACCACCTCATTACCGCCAGTTGGGGATAGAAGTGCAGTCTCTGCTGACACCCTGGTTGAGGAGGGGCACCTCATTACTCTTGGTGTGGGTGAAAGTTCAGGCTCCCCACAGACCTCTGCTAATACCACCCTGGTTGGGAAATGGAGCAGGACTTTGTTTCTGCTCCTAACTTGGCCTCTCTTTACACAGTGCGGAGGGTGTGAGAGGCTTTATAGATATGCGAGGTAATGTAAGTCCGAATTTCTGCACTTCACCTCTGAAATCTAGAGGAACCCTGCTAGGAAACAAAAGGGGCATCTCTTTATTGCTGGATAGAGGCAGATGTCCAGCTCCCCATGTGGTCTCTAATGACATAAATTGAGGGAGTCATTACCATTGGCCCCTCACTGGGCCCTGTTAGAAGGAGGAGGGATGCCTTCTTATAGCCAGGTGAGAGTGAAAGTGTAGGTTCCCCACTAGGTCTTTACTGGTGGGGGTAGCTGTAGGGTTGTAATTTTTTCTGTGGTGTTCGGCTAGAGTAGTACAGTTATTGTGTAAAAGTTTTCTGTCTTACTGGGCTGTCCATTTCCTAGTCCTTTGACTAGAGAGAACAGGGTTTTACAGGGGGCTTTTTATCATCTAACCAATTGGCCTTTCCAAGTTGCAGGTTTCTTCAGCACCCAGGCCAGGATATGTCAGGCAAAATGAAAACCCAGAGAACTCACCAATCATGTTCTTCTTTCAGTGCTGAGATCCCTACCCAGTGTGTCTCCTCTCCACCTTTCAGAGTCTTCTCATAGTTTTATTATTAAATTTATATTTATACAGTCCCTATCAAAATCCCAAAGGATTGTTTGTGAGAAGCTGATTCTAAAGAGCCAAGGACCAAGAATACTGAAGAGACTCTTGAAAGAAAACAAGGTGGGAGACTTGCTCTATTATAAATCAGGAGTACTATACAATAATCTTAATGAGACAGTATGGTATAGATAAATATACTGATGGAACAGAAGAAAAAGTCTAGAGACATACCTGCATGTATATGCACGTGTGATTTACAGCAAAGTTGGTGCTGTTGAACAGTGGGGCAAAGTGTAAAACTTAATCCCTATCATTCATCACATGCAAAAATCAATGCCAGACAGACATAAAAATCAAAACAGTAAATCAGTTAAAATAGAAAAAGATAACAAGTAAGGTAGTATAAAATATATCTAAGTTGAAGTAGGTAAAAAATAATTACAGAGAACATAAAAAGTGTTATTCATACAGGAAAAAAATTGTTAAATTTGACCACAATAGAATTATGATGTTCTATTCCCCAAAAGATTCCAATAAAAAAGGTGAAAAGGCATAGCATGGAGTAGGGCAAGATATCTACAGTGTATATAATCAACATAAGGCTCATATGTAGCATATGTAAGAACTCCTACAGATGAATAAGAAAAAGACGGACAACTCATTTGTAAATGGCACAGAGTTGAGGAAGCAATTCACTGAAGACTTCCAAATGGTCAATAATTGTAAGAAAGTATTATTCAACACTTTATTAGTAATCACACAATGTAAACTAAACCCACAATGATATACCTCAACATACAAACAAAAGTGGCTGAGATAAGAAGGACTAACATAACAAATGTTGATGAGAAGCAGTAAAAACGTTTACAGCCTGTTGGTGGGTACAACACTTTGGAAAATAGCAGTATCACCGAAAATCGTAGAAACACATAGTCTATGGTGCAGTAATTCTATCCCCTAGGGATTTCATTACAGACACGTCCATACCAGTACAGTGGAAGACATTTACAAGAATATTCATTGCAACATTATTTGCAAGAAATCCAAACTGAAGCAACCCAAAATTCAGCAATAGAATGGATAAATAAATTGTGATATATTCGGACAATGAAATACTATATACAACAAAAAAAATG